TCATATCACCAGTATAATTGAAGCCCAAGTGCTTGTAACCCATGAGTTCACATTCACTTCTTTCCCCCTTGATTTTTTTCCTTCTCTGCCCTCTCTAAACACTGGGGTCAAGGGCAATCTAGGCTTTCCTCTTAGGACATTTCCTCATCCAGTGTTCTATTACCACAGATAAGAAACACACCATGATTTAACAGTATTTTTCTTTTTTGGTGATGAAAGAGAATCAAATGATAAGCATATCCACGTTAAGCATGTATACTAACAATGGGTTACACCTCCCTAGCCTTAAAAACATCAAATTCTTTAAACCATTCTTCTATAAAATATAGGTAATTTGGCATAGTTTTGAATAAATTAACATATCCATCAACATATTTGACACAGAGACAAAGATCTGACACATATTTGATCAATAAAAGTTTCTAAAGATGAATTGCATATGCAATTCACAGAGTACATGATTTATTTAGATATTTAACACCTGGTTGTTATGATTTGCAGTAGAATAAATAGCATTGAGAACACTATCATATACCAAAGTTAGCTTCAATTTGCTCTATTAAAGGATATCAATGTTCCTAAGTCACAAATATTTCAAGCCTCTTGGGCAAAAGACAGTACCTGTTTTTAACCTTAATTTAAGAAGAAAAACAGCACTGTTTTCATCTCACCGACTTTTTCTTAAAATATTTTGATAGATCAAACATATCTATGAAATTACGAATGTGAAACACTTAAAATGGTAGTCTCTTTACTATCAGTAAGGCTGTTCAATAATACACATTTCTGCACTTTTCCTAGATTCTAGAACGTACTCTTGGGACTGACCCCCTCATACTGTTTTTTTCATCTACAAAGTAAACAATTTGGTTTTATTTCTTTTTTTTTTTTTTTAATTTTTTTTTCCCCTTTATTTTATTTTATTTTTTTTAAAGTTGTAGATTTACAATTTTTTGTGCTTTGGTTTCAATTATACAATGATCAGATACCCATCCCTCCACCAGTGCCCATTTTCCACCACCATGGATAATATCCCTCCCACCCCCATCCCCCCATCCCCCCGTCTCTGTGGCAGGGCAATCCCCTGTGTTCTCTCTCTCCTTTTGGGTGTTGTGGTCTGCAAAAGAGGCATTGAGTGGCAAACATGTTCAGTCCATAGTCTACTTTCGACATGCATCTCCCCTCCTGGGAGGATCCTCCAAACATCCTTTATTTGGTGCTCCCTTCTCTATCTGAATAGCCCTTTCCTCCAGGATACCCGGCTGGCCTCTAAGTTATGGAGTAATCCTCCTGGTGCTGATCTCAGCTATTCTTGGGTATTAATCTCATACTTTGTTACTTTATATCCCCCAGATGAATGCAATCTTTCTATGTCTATCCCTCTCTTTCTGACTCATTTCGCTTAGCATGATACTTTCCATATTGTACCACTTGTATGTAAAGTTCATGACTTCATCTTTTCTAAGAGCTACATAGTACTCCATTGTGTAGATGTACCAAAGTTTCTTTAACCAGTCATCTGTTCTTGGGCATTCAGGTTTCTTCCAGTTTCTGGCTATTGTAAAGAGGGCTGCAATGAACAAACAAGTGCAGATGTCACTTCGACTATACATTTTTGCCTCTCTGGGATATATTCCCAGGAGTGGTATTGCTGGGTCAAATGGGAGCTCAATTTCTAATTTTTTGAGAATCGTCCATACTGTTTTCCAGAAGGGCTGAACCAGTGGACATTCCCACCAACAGTGAAGGAGTGTCCCTTTCTCGCCACATCCACGCCAGCATCGGTTGCTTTTGTTCTTTTGAATTTGGGCCAGTCTCTGAGGTGTGAGATGGTATCTCATTGTGGTTTTGATCTGCATCTCCCTGATGATTAATGATGTAGAGCATTTTCTCATGTGCTTTTTTGCCATTCGGATTTCTTCTTTGAGAAAGTTTCTGTTCATTTCATTGCCCCATTTTTGGATGGGGTTGGATGTTTTCTTCTTGTGGAGTTTAACCAGTATTTTGTATATCCTGGATATCAACCCCTTGTCAGATGTGTATTCGGTGAATATCCTTTCCCATTCTGTAGACTGTCTTTGTATTTTGGTCACTGTTTCTTTGGAGGTGCAGAAGCTTCTTAGTTTAAGATAGTCCCATTTATCTATCTCTGTTTTCACTTGCTCGGCCAGTGGCGTGGCATCTTTGAAGATACCATTAGCTTCAATGTCATGGAGGGTTTTGCCAACTTTGTCTTCAATGTACCTTATGCTTTCTGGTCTGATGTTGAGGTCTTTAATCCATTTTGATCTTACTTTTGTACATGGTGTTAGGCAGAGTTCTGAGCCTATTTTTTTGCATGTAGCCGTCCAGTGATGCCAACACAATTTATTAAAGAGGCTTTCCTTACTCCACTTCACATTACTTGCACCTTTATCAAAGATTAGATGAGCATATGATTGAGGAGAAATGTCAGTGTATTCAACCCTGTTCCATTGGTCTGCAGTTCTGCCTTTGTTCCAGTACCATGCTGTTTTAATTATTACTGCTTTGTAGTACAGTTTGAAGTTCGGGAGGTTGATTCCTCCCATTTTCTTTTTCCCAAGAATTGCTTTAGCTATTCGTGGGGGCTTATTGTTCCATATAAATTTCAAGAGTGTTTGCTCCATTTCTTTGAAGAATGTCATGGGTATCCTTATAGGGATTGCATTGAATTTATACAATGCTTTCGGTAGTATTGCCATTTTGACAATGTTAAGTCTCCCGACCCATGAGCAGGGGATATCTTTCCATTTCCTCATGTCCTCTTTTATTTCCTGAAGTAGCGTTTTGTAGTTTTCTTTGTACAGGTCCTTTACTTCCTTAGTTAAGCTGATTCCTAGGTACTTGATTTTCTGGGGCACAATTGTGAATGGGATTGTTTTTTTCATGTTGCTTTCTTCTCTCTCACTGTTTGCGTATAGGAAAGCCATGGACTTTTGGGTATTGATTTTATAACCTGCAACTTTACTATACGAGTCTATTGTTTCTAAGAGTTTTTTGGTGGAAGTTATTGGGTTCTCTAAGTAGAGTATCATATCATCTGCGAATAGTGAGAGCTTGATTTCTTCCTTTCCTACCTGAATGCCCTTAATATCTTTTTCCTGCCTAATCGCTATTGCAAGTACTTCCAGTACTATATTGAACAGCAGTGGAGAGAGTGGGCATCCCTGTCTCGTCCCTGATCTTAGAGGGAAGGCTCTCAGTTTTTCCCCATTGAGGATGATGCTTGCTGTAGGCTTGTGGTAGATGGCTTTAATTATGTTGAGGAAGGTCCCCTCTATACCCATTTTGGCTAGGGTTTTCATCATAAAGGGGTGCTGGATCTTATCAAATGCTTTCTCTGCATCTATTGATATGATCATATGCTTTTTATCTTTTCTTTTGTTGATATGGTGGATTATGTTGATTGATTTCCGAATGTTGAACCATCCTTGCATCCCTGGGATGAATCCTACTTGGTCATGGTGTATGATCTTTTTGATGAGTAGTTGGATTCTATTTGCTAGTAGTTTGTTGAGGATCTTTGCATCTGTGTTCATCAGGGATATCGGCCTGTAATTCTCTTTCTTTGTGGTATCTCTGTCTGCTTTTGGTATCAGTGTGATATTTGCTTCGTAGAAACTGTTTGGAAGTGTTTTTGATATTTCAATTTCGTGGAAAAGCTTAAAGAGTATTGGGAGTAAGTCCTCTTTAAAGATTTGGAAGAATTCACTAGTGAATCCATCCGGGCCAGGACTTTTGTGCTTGGGGAGACTTTTTATTACCATTTCAATTTCCTTGATGGTGATAGGTCTGTTCAGGTATTCCAGGTCTTCTTGGTTCAGCCTTGGGAGTCTGTAGGAGTCTAGGAATTTATCCATTTCCTCGAGGTTTTGATGTTCCGTGGCATAAAGCTTCTCAAAGTACTCCCTGAGGATCCTCTGAATTTCTGTGGTTTCTGTTGTAATGACCCCCTTTTCATTTCTGATTCGGTTTATTAGGGTTTTCTCTCTCCCTTTCTTTGTGAGTTTTGCTAGAGGTTTATCGATCTTGTTAATTTTCTCAAAGAACCAGCTCTTGGTTTCATTGATCTTTCGGATTGTTTTTTGGGTTTCCATCTCATTAATCTCTGCTCTGAGTTTTATTATTTCCTTTCTCCTGTTCGGGTTGTGCTCCTTTTTTTGGTCCTTCTCCAAGCTCTTAAGCTGTGAGGTTAGGTTACTTATGTGTGCTCGCTCCTCCTTCCTGAGGAATGCTTGTAGAGCTATAAACTTTCCTCTTAACACAGCCTTTGCTGTGTCCCATAAGTTTTGGTAACTCGTGTTCTCATTTTCATTCGTTTCTAGGAATCTTTTGATTTCCTCTTTGATTTCCTGTCTAATCCACTCGTTGTTCAATAGTGCACTGTTTAATTTCCAGGTGTTTGATTTAGTTTTCTGTTTTTGTGTGTGATTTACTTCTAATTTCAGCGCATTATGGTCTGAGAAGATTGTTGATACAATCTCTACCTTCTTAATTTTATGGAGGCATGTTTTGTGGCTCAGCATGTGGTCTATCTTGGAGAATGTTCCATGTACGCTTGAGAAGAATGTGTATTCAGCTTTTTGTGGATGAAGTGTCCTGTATATATCTACTAAGTCCCTTTCTTCCATTGTTTCCCTCAAATGAAGTATGTCCTTGCTAAGCTTGAGTCTGGTTGATCTATCAAGAGGTGACAAAGCAGTGTTGAAGTCTCCCACTAGTATTGTGTTGCTATTGATGTCTTTTTCCAAATCTATGAGTAGTTGTTTTAAGTACTTTGCTGGTCTCTCATTAGGTGCATATACATTTATTATTGTAAGTTCTTCCTGTTGTACAGATCCTCTGATCAATAAGTAATGGCCTTCACTGTCTCTTATGACCTTCCTCACTCTGAAATCAATGTGGTCTGATATAAGGATGGCTACCCAACAATTTGGTTTTATTCTCAAATACAGCTACAAATTGGAATGCTTTTTGTAAACAGAGATGACATATACTGTTATAGACTTAATGAGACATACTGTAAGGGTGGTTTCTACAAATGTGTTTTTATTTCCCTAAGTTATACTGATAGTTACCCAGGTTCAGAAAATATTAATCTGTCCAATTGATACAACCTTTATATTTTTGTAATATGAACTGGCATTTGAAAATATATTACCTCATTTCTATGGTCACCCACAATCATTCATCATCTTTGCATTCCCCTTTTCATTTTTGTACTACATTTGTTGAACATTGACTCGAGTGTGCAAATAACGCCAATAAAAAAAAGGAAACATAACATTATTGCATAAGAAAATGTATTTTCATAAGATGTTAACTATCTGCTCAGTCACACATTTCAATACTTCAAAACATTCTGCACAAAGAATGTACAGATTACATTTAAAAACAAAACATCTGGGTTAAGAACTGTTTTTGAGAAATACAAAACATTTTTCAAACACTAAAAAAAAATTATACAAACTACATGATATAGGACAAGATGAACTTTTTTGAAATGAAACAGAGCTTATGAGAGTGCCTAAATAAGAATTTCAGGGAATAAGTATTTATAAATTTTGGATGAAACTTAATATTGTTAAGGACCAGGAATTTGAACATAAAATTGTGCACAAAAATATAATTTCCTCTATACATCAATAGTGTATTTTCCTATCTCAACCATTATTTTTCCTTTTCAATTCAGAATCCAGCTGTTTCCTGTCAAACTTAAGTACATCCAGTTCATTTCTTTTTCTTTTTTTTTTGGCTTTTTGCATCATACCCTGCGATGCTCATGGGTTACTCCTAGCTCTGCACTCAGGAATGATTTCTGGCGGTGCTTGGAGGACCATATGGCATGTTGGGGATCGAACTCGGGTTAACTGTATTTAAGGCAAATGCCCTACCCACTGTACTACCATTCCAGCCCCCTGATTAATTTGTTAAACATAACTACCAATGTCACCTTCAGATATTGACTCTATTTATTTTCCCTCTTTCACCCATGTCCTGCCAATTTTTATCAATACCTAGGACTTTTGATAGGGAAGCTATCGCAGCACACTTGGGTACATACTATTACAAAAGATACTTTATTCACAAATAATCCATAATAGGTATTAGATACTAGATATTGAAAAGTTCTTATTCTTTAGATCTAGAAAGATCAAGACCAACATAGGTCTGCCTAGAGTCATGAAGCAAGGTGTGCACTGGTTCTGAATCACTGTGACATCTATGTTTAAAATACCTAGAACTTTGGTTTTCACCAATAATCTTCTGCTCTGTATATCTACGTTAAATACTGTATTCCCAAAAACCCTCTCCAATTTTATGTGCGGTATTGGCCTTTACTTTTACTGTGACATTCTGCTGTAACTTAGTTCTTAACTTTTCCATTTCTTTCTTGTTCTCCATCAACCCAGTCCTGTATTTCTAATACAATATTTTAATCACTCCTTTTTAAAAATTTTGTCTTGGGATCACACCCAGTAGTGCTCAGGGGTTACAATTGGCTCCGTGTTCAGGTGAGCATATGGGATGAGATGGATTAAACGCAGGTCAGCAGCATGCAAAGCAAGTGCCCTACCCACTGCACTATCACTTCGGTTCTATAACTACTCTTTAATAGTAACTGTTGAGTCTTCATTAATCAGTTAATTAGCATTTCCTTAAGCTTTATTGTGAAATTCAGCCCCTTCCCCGCCAACACCAGTCTTTATCTGAACACTATTTAGAAATAATATCCTCAAAAAGACAATTTTTCTTTGAGAATTCCTCTTTTCCAGATTGAGATTAAAGAAGACTGACCAGGGGACTCATAATTCAGCAAAGGATACTTCTGCTTTACTTTCAATTCTCACCATAACAATTACTGCAGTTCATAGTTAGCATCATTTTCTGTGGTTATCGATTTTACAATGCTAGCTCAAAAATGTAGTTGCTGACTTTTTATACTGAATCAAAAATTAGATGAATGCCTGAAATTTGAAGCCTAATGATAAAAAAAAAACTTTAAATGGTCAAGTACCCTTTATATCTAATAATATTTTAATTAGAAAATGTACATAATTAAGAATTCAACTTCTTGTTAGTCAACAAACAATACATCAAACTGCCATGTAGGATACATAATTCTTTATATTTTCTAACAAACATTCCAGTCCCTTTACTTTTTAAAATGTTCTCCAAAATAATTATCAGAAGCATTCTACAATTATAAAACACAGCGGATAATTCATTTATCCCAAATGAACTACCTGTGTATGTTGTGAGGTAGCAAAGAAAGACTGATCTTCTATGGCAATGGTACCCTCAAGTCAAAAGAACTCATTCTCTCTTCATGTGAAGAGAGCGAGCCAGAAGGGAGAGTCACCTTTCACCATTTCATCAACTATTGGTGTTTCCACAGTATTCAAATGTCTGGTTTTGATTTTAGAACAATATCCGTATTTATTCTGAAAGGCAATTGCATATTCCAAGTAGCATATATTAACAACTTCCAACACGATCTCTGGGAATGATTCTCAGCTCTGAACCATGCTTTAGGAAAACATTTCCTATGACAAACAAAACATAATGTTAGGTACTTAAAAACCAAGCAATTTTTAACATTTTGATCTTAACTGCTATCCTATGAATTATTCTATATAATAACAAAGTACTATAACGTTAGTATGAAAAAGCACCAACATCATCCAGAGTCTGGACTTCATGTTTTTTGCAGGCTTACTTCTATTCCTGTCATATCTTATCTTTACAACCTAATAAAACTCTTAACATTTTAATTTTAATATAAATAGAAATGCTTATACCCAGCAAATGACAATGTAAATTAATCTAATCAACACAAGTTTTTAATGTACACTGAAATATCCAAGGATAGAAAAAAAAAAAACTAAATTACTTTCAAATTACAAGTTTAGAAAAATCCACCTAATTTGGCTCAATTTACAGAGATTTTCTTCATATCTCAATTACAATTTAACTTTGAAGGGTAAGAGAACTGGCAACATGTTTAGGAATTCTTATTAATATAAATGACAACTTCCTAGTGTGAAAATCAAAACCAAACATGGTCCTGAATCTGCCAGGAGTGATCTCTGAGTGCAGAACCAGGACAATCCCTGAGCAATGTTGGGTGTGGCCCTCAATTCCCTCCCAGAACACTGATTTCAGTAAAAAATGCAACTTAAGGGGCTGGAGCGATAGCACAGCGGGTAGGGTGTTTGCCTTGCACGCAACCAACATGGCCAATACAGGTTCGATTCCCGGCATCCCATATGGTCCCCCGAGCACCGCCAGGAGCAATTCCTGAGTGCATGAGCCAGGAGTAACCCCTGAAAATCGCCAGGTGTGACCCAAAAAGCAAAAAATAAAAATAAAAATAAATCACGGTGTTAATACAAATTAACTTTAAAAAAAATGCAACTTAAAATGTTTTTTTACCCAAGGCCTATGAGGATAGGATAATTTTATTATGATACAGAAGAATGTTAGAATATAATGACTAAAAGAGAGAACTGTTTTAGATTGAGGTGACATTATGTTAAAGTTCTCTTTCAAAACATTGTAATTAGATTATAAATTTTAAAGGGTATATTTAAAAATTATAAAACTACATGTCAGAAAGTTTAAAACCAGTTTTACCCTGCTTGTTTGTTAAGATGTCGATATGTAGCAATGGAGTAAACTCCTTGAAACTGAAATGGCTATTTATTTAAAATAATAACAACATACAATGAGAAAAATGAGAAAAATATAGCAACATTATCTTAATTGCAAACAAGTACATGACAAAAAGAAAGTGCTATAGATCAATGCCTGATGGACATAGACTTCAAACTTCCAATAAAATACCAGGAATATCTGACAACATACCAAAAGGATCTACACCACAAGCAAGTGATGTTTATTCTACGTGCATAATTATGGCTATCCTATGCAAATTAATCAATTAAATACCCTGTACCAATGGCTAAGGGGGAAAAAGTGACATGATAGTATAGAGATGCTGATAAAGATTTAGCACCCATTTATAATAAAAGTTCTCAACACAATAGGGGTAGAAGAAAAGTACCCTAGCATTTAAAAATTCATAAACTTTAAACCCATACCCACTATACAAAATGATGAAAATCTGATTTTTCATTAAACTCATGCTACTTAACAATAAACCAAATTACCCAATTAAAAAAAAGAACATAAATTTGAATAGATACTCTTCCAAAATACTCTGGCAAACTCCCCGTGGTATACCCAATATGCCAAATACCAGTAACAATGATGGGTCTCATTCTCCTAACCCTGAAAAAGCCTTGAATATGGCACTTTAAAAAAAAAAAAATCTCAGGGCTAGGACGAAGAAGACGTTACTGGCACCTGCTCGAGGCAATCGACGAACAACAGGGTGGTCGTGATCGTGATGATCGTGACTCTTCCAAAATACATGTAAATGGCCAGTAGTCATATTTAAAAATGCTCATTATTTGGGCTCGAAAGACAGCATAGGGGTTAAGCTGCTAGCCTTGCACATGACTATGTAAATTAATCAATTAAATTACATTACACTTTACCAATAACTAAAGGGGAAAAAAATGACGTGAGAATATCACTTGACTCTGGCACCACACACAGTCTCCCGAGCACAAGGAGTGACTCCCAAGCCACCAGGAGTTGTCCCCCACAAAAAAACTTTTTTAAAAAGTGCTCATTATGTACCAGTATCAGAGAAATGCAAATGAAGACCTCAATGAGACACTACCTCACATTCACAAGAATCATTTGTTTCAAGAGCAGCAATTAACAACATGTGTTGGAAGTACACAGAAACAGAACCTTAGGGGGGATGCAAACCGGGGATGTAAACCTTTAGTAATACTTTATAGGGCTTCCTCAAGAAGGTGAAAATAGATCAATAACATGATTCCGACAATCCCACTTTGGGCTATCAATTCAAAGTATACCAATAGCATTAACAAAACAATCCTATCCATGCCCATGTTAACCAGCAGTGTTAGTTATTTACAATGGTTAAAATAAGCAAGCAACTGAAAGCTTGTGGACTATGACTGGAAAAAGATGAGGTACATTTATACAATGACGTACTAGTCAGCTACAAAAAAAAAGGGGGTGGGTGGGTATGGGGTGGGGTGGCTATTTGCAATGAAGTGAACTCAAGGAAATTATGCAAAGAGATGACAATAAAAGACGAATTTGGATAATTGCCATATGAGTATTGAGACTGGCTATAAAACTGATGAACACACGAAAATGAACAAGAACAACCAGCGCTGCTGGCACGGATGTAGGGAGGAACGGATTCACTGCTGGCAGTAATGCCAGCTGGAAAGAGTTCCCTTTTCTCCACACTTCCAAAACAAGTTGGTAGCTGCTGTTTTTGAAATAAATGGTTCTTATAAACGTGAGGTGGTTTCTCATTGAGGTCTTAATTTGCATTTCCAGCCCTTTTGGAAAACAATATGGTGATTTCTCAAAAAAACTAAAAATTGAGCTTCCATATGACCTAGCAATACTACATCTGGAAAAATACCCTGGGATCCCCAATACCTCTATGTTCACTGCAGTACTATTCACAAAAACCAGAATCTGGGGACAACCTGAGTGCCTGGGAACAGACGACTGGATAAAGAAAATTATGGTACATTTACACAATGGAATACCATGCAGCCACCAGGGGGGAAAAAATGTCATGAAATTTACGTAAAAATGGATGGACCTGGAGAGTTTCATGCTGAATGAAATGAGTCAGAAGGAGAGGGACAGAGAATGATTGCACTCAATTGCGGGGAAAAAAAAACACACACACACAACAGTATGAGAGTAATATCCAAGGACAGTAGAAACAAGGGCCGAGAGTACTGGTTCACTTTGGGAGCTTGCCAAAAGTGGTGTGGGAGGAGGGCAGTTAGGATCAAAAAGAGATCCCTTTGATGATAGTTGAAAATTATCACTCTGTACAAGAATTGAGAGCTGTGAATAGGTAAAGGGATACGCATGATAACCTGTCAATACTTGTACTGCAAACCATAATGCCCATCAGGAAAGAAGGAGAGGAGAGAAGAGGAGAGACGAAGATACGGAGAGACAGAGAGAGAGAGAGAGAAAGAAAAAGGGAGGAGGGAGAAAGGGAGCGAGGGATACAGAAGAAAACTGCCTGCTCTAGAGGCAGGGTGGGGTGGGAAATGGGGTGGAGGCTGGAGGGAAACTGGGGACATTGGTGGTGGGAAACATACACTGGTGAAGAGAGGGGGACTGGAGCATCCTATGACTGAAACCTGATCATGAACAACTTTGTAACTGTATCTCACGATGACTCAATAAAAACAAATTTAAAAAAAATAACAATAAAAAAAATCAACGAATAAACCAAATAAAAAAGGCAAACCAATTGACATAGAGATAATAATAAAGCTAAGGTTCCCCTGAAGAAAAGGCATGGAGAGAAAACACAGGAAAAAGCAATGCAAAAAATAAAGAACAGATTTTTGAAACTGCTCTTATCTTAATACAGGTTAAGCAAACTTGTGAGCACTTTTCACATGCTACCTCCCCATTATTTTATGCGTGGGCTCAAATGATGATTCTCATAGGAAACAATTTTAATTTCAGTATTTTGTTTTATGTAATATCTTCGATGCATATGTCATAATTTAGCTTTCTGGAAACCAAAAGTATACATCACTAATATACATATTAAAACAAATTATTACGTAGACACAATGGTAGACTATGTAATGCCTGAAAAACAGCTATTATCCCAGTCAAATCTTACCATATCTAATTAGAATAAATATTCAGAATCACTTGACATAAGATGTTCCCATGCACATCTTTATATGAGTTTCAGATACTCACCAGCAGTTTGTGCAGGATTTATTCCTATTCCATCTGGAAAATAAGTTGAATTGACTAAGTTATTTGTTAAGATAAAATGCTTGACAATAACATAAGCTTTGCATATAATGCTACTGTGCTTGTGGATGTGACCCAAATGAAATCCTAGAACCTGAACGACAATCTTTCAGGTATCTTTTGAATGGTCACGACTGCCCAATGACACACATTACAGAGTATCTGTCAATACAATGATCTTAATACATTCTAAGGAAGCATTTTTTTTTTCTTTTTGGGTCATACCCAGCGATGCACAGGGGTTACTCCTGGTTCATGCACTCAGAGATTACTCCTGGCCGTGCTCGGGGGACCATATGGGATGCTGGGAATCAAACCCGGGTTGGGCCGTGTGCAAGGCAAACGTCCTACCCGCTGTGCTATCGCTCCACCCCAAAGGAAGCAATTTTTTATTCTATTATGCTAGAGTAAAAAGTAAATCACAAAGTACTTTCGGTGCTCTAATACATAAAAACCTAAGGCCAGGAGACCATACCTAATAATTTCCTAATTAATTCACGGACATATGGTGAAGTTTATGAAGTATTTTCCAAACAACAGCTCATTTGTGAATCTAAAGCTATCCAGAAAATAGGCTAGCTTTCTTCTAAACAGAGAAATATTTTAATGTCACAGCATTGCAGAAGGCTTCAGATTGAAATTTATCTTCTCTAAACTAAGAGAGATACGCTTTTCTTATAGTCTTTACTTCTTAATTGAATATTTTTACAGAGTGAGTTCCATCAAACTTCATTATTAGTAAGTTTCTAAGAAATTTCATTAGTAAAAATCCTCATTTTATAAGCCTTTAAGAAACAGTTTTCAATTTGGAAAACACAAGCAGTAACAGGTATATTCTTGCTTGGCTTACTATATTCTAATAGCACTCACTGAAACAAATTATTTCAAATGATTATTTTAATGTGACAAATGTTAAAAACATGAGATACTACTAAGAGTACATACCCAAAACTATACCCCAAACACAGAAAAAAAGCCAATTATCGACAGTAACCTTAACTAAACGCTTAAAAATTATCATTATTGTTGATATAATTATACGCTTTATAGACTTAAGTGCATTTTAATTACCTTGATATTTATTGAGTAATTTCTTTTGGGAAGGGCATCCCAAGCAACATGCACGGGCCCAGAGACTAGCAATTTGGGGCTGACTGGCCTGATAGTTCCGTGTCAGAGATCAAGGATGTAGTGCTGACTGGCCCTTCCTACCATAGTGGTGCTCAAAAGATCATTAGGGCCACACAGAGCAGCGCTAAAGAGGCCATCAGGGTTATACCCATCATACTAGAATCAAACCAGGGTCCCAAGCATTCAATTATTGCACAATAATCCCTGGACTATTATTCTAGGCCCTAACTGATTTCTTCAGCTCCTAGGTAAAATAGGCAAAAAATACAAATTCTTACCATTGGTTATTATTGCACTTGTTGCTGCTGGAACTTTAAACTAAAGGAGAGAAAGAGAACTAAAAATTAGACACATACATATCTATAAACTATATATGGAATCATAAGGTAAAGGTAAAGGCCCTCCTGTTGATCGTCGATTTGCTCGAGCAGGCCCAGTAACGTCTCCATTGGAGACTTTGTTGTTACTGTGTTTGGCATATCAAATACGTCACGGGTAGCTTGCCAGGCTCTCCAAGAGGGGCGGAGGAATCGAACCCGGCTCAGCCGGGCTGGCTGCGCGCAAGGCAAACGCTCTGCTGTGCTATCACTCCAAACCTTCTTTGTAGTAGAAATACATTTTTAAGAAAATCAAAAACATTACTTTAAATCAGTATCTTTTCAATTTCAGTAAAAACTCTAATTCAATAAAAATTACTATAATTCGTAACCCTCTCGGAGAGCCTGGCAAGCTACCGAGAGTATCCCACCCGCACGGGAAAGCCTGGCAGGCTCCCCATGACGTATTCAATATGCCAAACATAGTAACAACAAGTCTCAAAATGGAGATGTTGCTGGGCCCACTCAAGCAAACTGATGAACAACGGGAGGACAATGACAGTGACAGGAATTCGTAAAGATTATACTAAATAAATATACTAATTGATTACAGTTTTTCCCTAAGTGGGTGATAAGCACTTCCCACCGCCAGCCCCGTCCCCCTCAAACTTTGCCAAGATGGATGGGGAAGGCCTTCCTACTATTTCCACTTAAAGAAGCCAGATTTCAGGGCAGGGCTGAAGCGAAGTTTTTGTTTGTCTGTTTGAAAAGTGGCTGGTGTACAAAATAAATGTTGGAACCAATGCATTAAATCATTCTTGTAATTGTCTGTTAGTCTTAACTCACACACACTCAACTTACATCAGTAGTTCAGTATTAACTTTCTGGCAGTGGAGTGAAGGACACAAATGCAGGTAAAACATAAAAATTCGGGGGATATTTTACAAAACGGCACTCAACAAGTTATGACCATTTTTATACTTACTTCTTCTGCTGCAAACTTTAAGACTGCTGTGAAAGGTGTGCTTTCAGGAACACTGAGCCTAGATATAGAATTGAAAAAAATTTTTTTTAAAAAAATTGATTTATGTTGTTTTTTCTTTTAATGGTATAGAGCAGACCTGGCCCAAGATGTCTTTTGGGTTTGAAGCTTATCTATTTGTACTAAATGTTATAATGACTATAAAATGAAATAAAGCATTTAGTAGTGTATCTGAGATGGTGCCCACAGCCTTACTGAAAAATTAATACCTATATAGGTGTACATTTTGTGGTCAACACAGAAGTGCTGGGGGAGGAGGAGGAAGATAGAAATATCTGATGCTGGTGATCAAACTCAGGACCCCAGAAATGTACCACTTGAGCTATTTCCCTTATCCATACCTATTTTTTTTTATACTATGATACAAACAGGCCTACAATACAGGTTGCTGCTCGTTTCCAGAGATGGATTTCTTTCATCTGATAAAGTGTTGTTGTAATTTCCACACTAAAACACAACCTGGTAAGCATTAAAAATCATAAAATCTTTTCATCAATTTTCTGTGTACTTTTAATAACTCAGTACTAAGACAGATCAAGCTGATGATAATGAATGTTAACCAGTGTCATACATGAGAGGATACTCATTTGACACCAATGTCTGAAAAAGGAGGGCCAAAAAAACAGTGCAAGAGTTAAGGTGCTGGCATTACACACAGCTGATTGCAATTTTATCCCCATGTATGACTCTCTGAACCTGGGCTAGAAGGGATCCCTGAGCAAGAGCCAGGAGTAACTTTCTGATCACTGGTATCCCACAGAGTCCCCCACCAAACTAAGAAGGAAAAAAAAGGATATGATATACTTTGAAATAATATTTTTGGACCATGACATGTGATTGTATCAGTACATTTGTGCAATGACAAGAATAAGATAAACGGTCCATTTATGTGATTTCTCCAGTTTAAAAACTAACACCTTTTCTTTTTCTTAAATGGTTGGAAAAAGTTTTTAACAAGTCATTTTACATAAAAACACCACTGATATAAACTAACAAGTGTAATTATAATGACAGAAACAAACTTTCTATGGAAAACGAATGATGAAATAAACTCCTGGACAATTAAACTCCACTGAGGAGAAATTTTGATTAAATGACATTGTCTGATTACCAGGAATTTTGCTCCATGGCTTAGACGCCAGCCACATATGCTAGGGGAAAAAGAAGCTCGGATAGAGAAGGGAACACCAAATAAAGGGTGTTGGGAGGATCCTCCCAGGATGGGAGAAGCATGCTGAAAGTAGACTATAGACCGAACATGATTGCCACTCAATGCCTCTTTGCAAACCACAACACCCAATAAGAGAGAGAGAACAAAAGGGAATGCCCTGCTACAGAGACAGGGTGGGATAGGGAGTATGAGGGGTGGGAGGGATACTGGGATCCGTGGTGGTGGGAAATGGGCACTGGTGGAGGGATGGGTATTTGATCATTGTATAATTGATCAAAATTTGTAAGTCTACAACTTACAAGCACAAAAATTTGTAACTCTACAACTGTACCTCATGGTGTCTCACTAATAAAAATTTAAAAAAAAATGACATTGTCTGTCAAGAAGTGTTCATCAAAATATCACATTTCAAGCACAGAAAGACCACATGTAAAGAGAAGGGCATTAGAGTCCCTGGTAGAGGGAGGGAGATATATGGTAATGGGTACGGGTATGGAACTCAAATTATGTGCTGCATGAGAAACCATCACTGACAGTATTGTAAATCACAGAATCTCAACCACCACCCAACCACTAACAAGAAAAATTAAAAAGACGTTATTTTTTAAAATTTTGTTTTTTTACCTAACAGAGATCCAGAGCCGAAGTACTGATATGAGTTCTGAGAAGTACTGAAAATAGTTCAGAGGAGTCCCATTTTCCATTGTAAAAGTAGTCAGAAATGAGTTTACTGAGATAGCAGATTTTAAAGGACATGGAAGACAGGGGACACAGAATTGAGGGTATTTTCAAGACCGTGATAGACCTGAACCCTATACTTCTATACTAGATAAGAAAAAAAGTAAGGCATTGGAAGTAGGGGAGAGAAATTAGTGACAGATTAAAAAGCAGTGTAATCATGAATCTAAAAAAAAAAGTCATAGGACAAATATTAGAGTAAATCAATAGAAACAAAAGAACACGATCATCCATAAGAGTAATTAAAAACGGCATTAGAGGTAAAGCAATTATTGGAAACTCTTAAGATTCTAGTCTATACCCACAAATACCTATGACTGGTGTACCAGAACTGATCTGGACATCAACAGTTCAAGAGCGTAAAACACTAGAGTCACATGGGACACTGACAGCTAAGGTAGACTGCTGGCAGCTGTTACAATTCAGCTGGGTAGGTCACAATACTCAGTATCTTATGTGCAAAATCCTAACGTCCTGTTCGACGCTACATTTCATACAACTTCCAGCAGGAACTGCCTTCAGGACGCTTCACTAGAAACACTGGGAGGTCCGGATGAGCCAGGGAAGTGTAAGATTTAAGAGTTATTACACTGTATCGCCAGGCTTGGGTCACTCACACACTGGAAGTCAACAAGAGCCTAAGCCTAAATCAACGTCCGAGTGATTGCAGAATGTGGAATGAGCTGTCTAAAACTTGAATGCGTCCTAACAGCTGGTAAAGGGAGCGTAAGGCATTTCGAGTCCTGAGCAGGCTCGGTGGGCTCAGGGATCGCCCCCCACCGCCACCCCCCACCGCCACCACCTTAGTTTTTGAGACCTGCACCCTCCCCCACCCATTGAGTTGCGGTCGTAGCACAGCTAGGTGCGGGGCGCACGCGCCCGTGTACCCTCCAGCCAGGGCCCACGGGATCTCTCCTCTCAAGGCTGTTTGGAGCGGGGATCAGAGACAGGAAGGGGGGGGCACGGGACGCTGGGACCCATCCAAGCCGGCCCGGGGCTGCCCGATGCCCAGAGGCCCACCCTGCAGGAGCTACTCACACTTTATAAGGTAGCCGCGGGTCCGACGTCAGCGTGATCTTAAAGGAAACCTTAGACCTGAGAAAGAAAGCGGGAGAAAGAGTTATGGCCAGGCCGTGGGGTCGGGGTTAGGGTGGTCGTCAAACAAATAACTTACATGGTGGAACCGGTCAGTCCAGACGCCCTGAGCTAACACGGCCTGGTAGCCCCACTTCCTCTGCGGACCGCCCCGCCCCACTTAGGTCCACGTCTCCCAGGGCAAGCAAGGGCCCCACGGTGGTGCTGTCCAAAGCATTGCCGGTAAAACCGGCCTCGGATGCACAAGCCACACGCAACCATTAAATCACAATTTATATTCTATTTGCACTAGTATCTCTGAGGAAAGAGGTAGGGGTCGTACGGAGTGAGGATTTCTTTAAATATAGTTCTATGCGGTCGTATTTTTAATCAGGCTATCTCGGCGCGAGGCATGGTCCGTGCGGCTTTAGGTCCCAGCTGGCAAGTTGGGGCGGAAGTAAGGGCGAGGCGTGGCGAAGCCCAGGGATGTGGGCGGGGCTGAGGGCGGACGCTCTCTGGGGTTGCTAAGGCAACCTGCGCACAGGAAATTTGATTGCTGTACAGAACGAACTGGAATCTTATCCCCGCTTTAGAGTCAAAATTCTTTCTGCCTTTCCAGAAATAAGTTCTGTTGGATTTTAAAAATATTTCTTCTCCACTCCCTTTATTCTAATATTTAATTCTGACAGATTAGAGAATTAGTGAGAGGGCTGGAACAGTAGTGCAGCCAGTAGGGCCTTCGCTTTGCAACAGACCAATAGGGGTTCGGGTCCCTGGCATCCCATATAGTTCTCTGAGCACCATCAGAAGTAATTCCCGAGTGCAAAGCCAGGAATAAGCCCTAAGACCTGAGCATCACCAGGTGTGGCACAACAAGAAAAAAAGAGAGAATTAGTTAATTGGTGAGGGACACTTGGGGATTTTGGGAGTTATTTAAACAGCAGCAACAACAACAACAAAACCCTCATGAACCTAGATCTCCATAACTTGTACTGTCTAATAGGATTGAACCATGAAATTAGATTGCTCATTGCCAGCCTGATTTATTCGTTTGACACCAAACTTGGAATCATTTTTGGGTTCCAGGCACTGAATTAGCTAAATGCTGTAGACAAATAGATTCAGCCCTCTATAGCATCCAGCGGAAGTTCTTGTATATTGAGAGAGGACCCAAATTTTATTACATAGCTTAGCATCTGTGTCAGGGTAATGAACACATCTCTCACAATATCTAAAATGCCCTCTTCAAGACATCCTGCCAGAAATAAGAAAATAGGAAACATGCATTAAAATATTAATTAAAACATCTAGTTCACCTTTAGAAAATATGTTAGATGATAGAAAAGAGATATCTTAGAGAGTAATCAGAAAGAACTGTAGTAGGAATGCTGAACACTGGCTTCTTCAATCCCTTTCTTTTTGTGGAGATATCAACCAAAGAGAGTTGCCCACTGGGTGAAAATAAAGTTGTGGTTTTCTCCAGAAAGTATTTATCTTCTCCAGTTTACAAAATGTTGCTCTTGTCATATAGAAAGAAAAATATTCTTAGATTTGAAAATTAACAGACAACTATAGGATTAGTTGGTATGACTAAGATTTTTTGACAGTAATGAAGCAAAAATTATTATGTATACATAGTTTCAGCTACTTAACTACAAAGATATTAGAGTATTCTTCTGTAATTTTCATTTCTAATATTTTTTAAAAACTACGTTTTCATTTTGATAGTTACTGTTTTGTCTCGTGTGTAAATACATCTGGAAAAATGCTAAAAAGAAAATGGTGTTTTGATCAGAGAGTTTTTATTGGATGTACAAAGAGTAGAGAAATAGGTCCAGTCCAGACAGTGCTACTCAGTGCTCACATTTTTTTTGCTTCTTCGGTATTTATGTTTAATAATACCCATATGGCATGACAAGGGAAAAATAGTGTGTCCTTAAAAGATCCTAGCAATGCTCGTGGGGGGAGGGGGGATCAGTGCGGGTCACACTTCAAGATGATTAGGAATCACTCCTGCCTCTGCACTCAGGAATTATTCCTGGAGGTGCTCAGGGAACCATAATGGATGCCCCGGGAAACTGAACCTAGGTGGGCAGCATGCAAGGCAAGGGTTCGACCAGCTGAACTTTGCTCCAGCCAATGTCCCGTTGTTTAGCATTCTCTCTCACTTTAATCTTCAAGTTCTCTTTCCATATCTGTCACCTTAAAATCATAGCATAATTCTTTAAACAGAGTTGTTGGATTATCTTTTTGGTGCAAGAACAAAGGGGGCTGAGAGATAGTACACTTGCCATGCTGCTGATCCAGTTCAGCACCACATGGCATGGGCCTCTGTTCATGGTTGGATGAGCCCTGAAAGCTTCCTAAGCTCTGCTGAGGGCGCTGAAGGAGTCTGCCCTGCAGGGCCAGAGACGACATCCTTATATAGTCTCACGCTGAAGGGCCAGTCAGCTGAGCTCTCAAAGGAAAACTGTTCTAGGTAAATCAATTTATACTCAATATTAAGGTTTGTTTATTTAACATTGCTAAGGCAATCAACGAAATATGGTAAATATGATACAAGAAGATCATATTTAATTAAAAATTAAACTGAATTACTTTTGTAAACAAAACGCACTCAAAGATACTTGGCAAATGTAACATTTTAATGCAACAAATAGCATAAATAGCTTAATGTGACTGGAAAGTAACATGTAGAAATGTAACACATAGAGGCAGAAATGACTGTAGAAGTTGCACAGTGTTACTATACTCATTAAAAGCTGGCAAAACATACTAATCATGCTATTTGAAAATGCATACAAATTTCTTATTTTTAGAAATGAATTATATTGCAGATAAATTTGCATATAAAGACTTAAAAATTTTGCTTACACATTCATAAAATTTCTTATATTATTTCTTCACTCACTTCCAAGTAAAATACAAATTAGATTTTAACGTAAAGTAATTAGCTTCTTCAAGACTTTTTATTCCTAATTTGACTGAATTTGTGATTATGAAAAAATTCGCCTGGGACTGAGTATGTAACTTAGTGTTAGAGTGTGTGCATTGCATATGTGAAGCTTTGTGTTTGATCATCTGAACTATGACTAATAATACAATATAACCAATAGTTAAAATCATCCAGTAGTTAAATTATATAATCCTGTAAATTTTACACTGGAATAAATCTTATGGTCTACTCCAAACACTTTATATTATAGGAAACAAGGGTAGCCTGACTCAGTAATAACAATAAGAAATCTGCATAATTATTTGATTTTTTTGTTTTGTTTTTGAGACATCCTATGCTGTGCTCAGAATCGACTTGTAATGCTGTACTCGGGGATCATTTCTACTGGTGCTCAGGGGACTGTATGTGGTGATGGGAATTGAACTATATAGTCAGCTTCAAGTCAAGGACCTTAATACCTGTACTGTCTCCTTGGCTCTCATAATAATTTAATTTTGTCATTCTCCTCATTATTTTTCCTCTTTCTGCAATCCTTGCAGGGACATTGATAAAATTGAGGCATTAATGAAAATTAAAAAACTTCAGAATTTATGAAAATAATAAAGGTTCCCTCCCTTGGGAGGGAGCGGGTTGAGCTTTCCTCCCCGCCCCTACCAGGGCTCCGGCAGCCGAAGACCTCCAGGACCAGCCACCACCATGCTGAGACCACTCTCCGCACACATGAAGGTACTGGCAGAGGGACAAAGCCACGCGGGTTCCGGGACCGAGATTTCCAAGCCTACTTGTATTGGGGCCGAGCATCCTCCACACAGATCCTCCAAATTCCAGCAGGCGGGGGTCACACCCACCAACTGGCCCCCTGGCGCCGTGTAATCCCATCAATGGCCAAGACTCAGAGACTATAAAAACCAGCTCCCAGAACATCTTATTATGACATCTTATTATCTCATTCCTACTTTGGACAAACTTGCAGGCTATCAAATGTAGCCTGCCCACACGGCAGAGTCTGGCAAACTCCCCGTGGTGTACCCAATATGCCAAATACCAGTAACAATGATGGGTCTCATTCTCCTAAAGAGCCTTGACTATAATCTCAGGGCTAGGATGAAGGAGACGTTACTGGGGCCTACTGGAGGCAATCGATGAATAACAGGATGGTCGTGATTCGTGATTTGTGAATAAAGGTTCAGAATTTATGAAAATGTATATTGTGGAGTTGCAGATTACCCTTCAGTGCTAGAGTGTTAGACCTAAGGTTTGATTCCTGGTACCTTACTGGCTCCCATATTCTAGGAATGAGTATGATGAGTGGCCTTATTGCCTTCAAGGAGTATAGTTAGGCACTTATTGCCAGGAATGGCTGTTAGTCACCAACACAGATAGGGGGAGGGCCTTACAATAGTAAAACACACACACACACACACACACACACACACACACACACACCTATCTATACCAGGTATAAGTAAGTAAGTAAAGTAAAGGCCCTCCCGTTGATCGTCGATTTGCTCGAGCGGGCCCAGTAACGTCTCCATTGGAGACTTTGTTGTTACTGTGTCTGGCATATCAAATACTCTCGGTAGCTTGCCAGGCTCTCCGAGAGGGGCGGAGGAATCGAACTCGGGTCGGCCATGTTGGCCGCTTGTAAGGCGAACGCCCTACCCGCTGTGCTATCGCTCCAGTCCATGCCAGGTATAATATTCATTATTTAGTGTATTATTAAGTAGACTTAAAACTGTGATTTACCTCGACTGTTGTATTTCAGTGAAAAGAAGCCTTATGCACAGTTGTTTTTTATGGTAGACAGAAATACATGGGAAAAACTAAATGCTATTTGATTCTAAAGTGAGGCCTGTATGTTTAAGAGAGTATTTATATTCTCATGGATAACAAAATGTAAAATGTAAGTGAGATTAGAATTTAGTATGGCCAGGCTAAGGCCTTATAAAAGATTATAACTCTAAATATACTTTACATCAATAACAAACTATCTGAAAATAAAACCAGCAGTCTCACTTATAATAGCATCAAAGTAAAAAAAACCCTTATAAATAAATTTAACCAAGTCGATAAGAACTCTGTAAATAAATAATATAAAACAATGAAAGAATTTGAAAAAGTTAAAATAAATGGAAAGATATCTGTTCTTATATTAGAAAACTTGACATTGTTAAAATTCTCATATTACCTGAAGTGAGCTATAGAGTAAACAAATTCCTGT